GTGTGCGTGCGCGTGTGCGTGTGTGTGTGTGTCTCTGTGTGTGTGTGTGCGTCTCTGTGCGCGCGTGTGTGTGTGTGTGTGCGCGTGTGTGTGTCTGTGTGTGTCTGTGTGTGTGTGTGAGTGTGTGTGTGTGTGTGTGGGTGCGTGCGTGTGTGCGTGTGTGTGTGTGTGTGTTTGTTTGTTTGTGTGTTGTGAACCCATCAAGCAAAAAAACATGTGCACCCAACAGTCGAGCCTTGTCGATTCCAGAAGGCGAGTTATGTGTCATGCTGCCTCTCGGTGGGTGGGCCCTGCACCAATACCCGGCAGAGGGCTTGACATCGTCGCATGTTCCCCCCACTCCGATATAGAACCTTCTGCGGATTAGTGGTTCTTGATTCTTGAATTTGGGGCAGCACCGAGTACCACAAAGACACACAGTAACTTGTGCTTGTGCTCGCTGTTAGGCTTCTACCAGGTTTAGGCTTAGGCTCATCATCACCCTCGCCCTGCCCTGAAGGCTTTGCGAGCAGATCTGAACGGACCGCCCACAGAGAAACTGTTGTCTGCCACCTCTCGAGGCTGGAGCCGTTTAGAGCCATTTAAGTTGGAAGCTAAACCAAGTGGCTTTCCGAAGTCGCCCTCGCCGGTCCAAATTTTGGACCCATCGGGAGAAGTCATCGGCCATTCCACCCCGGGCCAGTCGCTGCTGCTGACGGCCATATCCCTGGACGGCGAGCGCTGCCGTGGAGGTGTCCAGGATGTGAAGCCATCACCTTGGAGGCGTGTTCTGGACTTGGGCCTTGGCTGGCCTTTTGCGACTTAAGGCCTACAATCTACAATGTAGTTCTCTTGTACAGGGATACAAGGCACGGATGAATGCATTGACATAGTCTCCACCGCCCATTGACTGGCCAGCACCATACAGCCATTGCCCGGTATGCTCCGGAGCACCGTCCGGATACTTAGCGCGGATTGCGCGCTCTCCGTTCAAGCGAAGCCCGGGAAACCCCTCCGGGCCGATATCCAAGTCTAACGCAGAAAGGTCCGCTCGCCAAAGGTTCGTCATCATGCGACGCCCTGTGATAGTCCCGGTCTGCGAGACTGGATGGAATCCAAATGGTTCTTTCATACCATAACATGTGTGAAGCCAAGCAGGGTCGGCGGATTCATGCCATACATAACTTGAATGATCGGCGGCGGCGTTTTCACAGTCTTGCAAGGACTGGAAAGTGCCGAGGAAGAGGCAACAGTCAGTGCTCTGTTTTGGCTTGGGCACCAACCCAAAAATGTTGTTCCAACCAGTGTAACGCCTCCAGCCTGTCTCTTTCCTAACATTGCTCCAGGCAGCTTTAGGGATGTTCAGGGGGCGTCCCCCACTCAGCACTGCATGTTCGCCCGGGTAGTTCTGGATCTGCAGACCCTGCAGCCGTGATAACACGGTACGAGGCAACGGGATTCCCACTTGTCCAACTCCTTGCCTGGATGAACTTCTCCTTGGAGATCTGTAAGGTGGCATTCACGTAGTAAGTGCCCTCTCGGAGCACGATCACCGGCTTCGAAGACAAACCAGCAGCAATCTCCAGGGCGGCGTGGAGTGACCTTCGGAGCTTTTTCAGCACTGTATTGGCTCATCAGCCGAAACGAGCCTACGAGCGTGCAAGGCACTGCACGACAACCGGGCTTTGTACAAACACCTGGACCTTGCCTCACTGGTAGTTGCAAAGTCCCGGGGTGGTGGTCCTGTCCCCTGCCGTCTACGAAGATGGCATCCGAAGGCGCTGGATACCTGCTTGAGGGCGCCCCATTGGGAACGGATAAGCTAGACACGCAGACGATCAGCTTTCGTGCCTTGGAGGCTGCCAGCGATCTTCCTCGCTTGGCGTGGTTCGATTGCAGTTCTGTAACTGCATCGCCTCCCGAGCTGCGGCGAAACGCGAAACAAGACGACTTCTAACTTCTAACCTGCCTCGAAAAGGCTGCGGAAGGACCCCCGTGCTGGCAGAAGTTTCTGGCCCTGCTGCCAGACGAGTTCGCGGATGGCGCAGTCATACTCTTCTGGAACTCCTGGAATGCGGAGACGGCTCAGATCAATCCATCCAAATCACAGCAAAACAATAGCGAAGCTTGGGGACGTAATTAACGTTCCTTCCGGCGTCCCGCTGTTGATCCATGCAGTTTTCCCGGCTCTTGCTGGAAGCGGTACCAAAGCACCAAACGCGCTGAGGGCACCGAACACTCCCAGTGGACGCGACAGCATGACTGGACAACGGGCAAAAAAGCTCGAGCCTTACATGCCTGCACTTGTTTGGGCAGTCGCCGACATGCCCACGAGCTCCCACGAGCTGACTCGAATTCGCACTGCTCCCGACCCTAACCAACCTGAACCTGCAGGAAGTGGACGGCACCCTCCCCTCCTTTTTAGCCTGGCTCTGCAGGGCAGGTGCCGAGTTTTCGGTCATTCGGCCTTGGCGAAAGGAAAGGGCTTCGGAAATTTCGGCTCGAAATACCCAAACCGTGAGCCTTGGATGGCTGTGCCTGCGCTCGTCGCAGCTCCTGCAAAGGTATGATGTCGGTGTATTCGGCACATCGCTGCCGAGCCTCGTTCAGAATCTTATTCAACTTCTCGTCAACCATCGCCTCAATCTTCTTCTCCATCCTTGGCACTGCTTCTGCTCACGCTTTCGCCCCTCTCATGGGTGCGCTGGTCTGAGCATTGAGGACACTGCACATCAGAGAGTTCTTTGCTCTCCCGACGCGGATACAGCTCCGATATCACCTTTCTGCAGCTGAACTTCGAGGGTGTGTTGGCACTACGCTAAGCAGGCGAGCGAAGGCAACACTCGCTCAAATCCAAATTGAGGCATCACAGCGGCAAGGTGGATGATTTTTTGCGCACCTCTTGCACCTGGGACCTCTGCTTACTCAGCACAGGAGCTAAGCATCACAGCATACTCTGGATGGTCGCTGCCTGTGCGAGCTTTTTGATGGGCTTGGACCCGATGGCCTGAGGCTCTGCAGGAATGTACAATGCAGCTCTGTTCACGCAGCTGGTCGGTTGCTGAGCTGCTTGTTCACGGAGAAAGGCCATCAACTTCTGGTCCTCACGCTTCTGAGCGAGAAGGACCACTCGTTGTGCCATCCTGGCAGCCGTGATTGGAAGCCCCGACCACAGCCATTCATTGCAAACAAGGGCGCCTAGCAGACGCCCATGCGTCCGACATAACGAAGGTGTCCTTGGAAATAGTTCCGGTACCTGAGTAGTCGTCAAGAACTCCACACAAAGAAATGCTGCCAGAATAGCTCCCAACGGTGGCTGATGACAGGAAAGTCAGGCACCTACAGCAAGATTTTGCACAGGGCTCTGGTGAGGGAAACGCCATGGCCAGGCCCACCTCTTTGGATGCAATGTCAAACAATTCTTTCCTGTTGAAGTTCGTCTCGTTGCTTGGGTGAGAAAATCTCTCGTTCAAGTGCCACGCATCAGCAGCCCCTGCCTGGCTTCCTCGTTGGGGCCGCCACGGACTCCCACATGCAAGCGACTCCTCCAAGGCAGCTGGAACCCTGGTCCGTTGTTTCCTTCTTTGTCCGGTCGTCGGTCTGTCCTTCTGGGGTTGATCACTTGCGGCGCAGACTTGAAAACCCGCTTGCAGTCCTCGCAGAAGCATCGTCTAACTTTGCAAAAAGCCGTCTGCTACCCAAGCCAGGCCGGGCACACAGCAATGACAAGGCCCTGCAACATGGACACCAGGCGTTGAGCGTGACTTTCCCGAACCTCGGCAGGGCAGTATCAAGCTGCTTGCCCTCGCCGCATGCTCCGATAAAGGCTTTGGACTGTCTTCGGCGCTCCGCGATCGATGGTGGAGTCGTCCATGGCGATAACCCATTTCCACTGCCTCATTCAAGTGAAACTCATCCACGGCAGTGCTGTGCAAGTAGCGGCCTTTGCCGAAACTCTTCCTCCAAGACATCCACATCCTGCAAGGTCAACGACAAGGAACGAGTGCCCTCATGACCGAAGAGCATCCTCACAATCAATCCTCGCTCTCATCGATGAACTGCAGCAGCTTCTTTGGTGCGGTCTGTTTGGCGAAAACTTGAAACTTCTCGAAGCTTCCATCCTGAAATGAAACCTCGCCTGTCGCAAATCTCGCAACACCGCCAACACCTCCAATCCTTTCTTCTGCGCCTCACGTGACGGTACGATTTGTCTGGTCTGGTAAGTGGACAAAGCAGAAGTGGAGAGAGGCGGACGTCATCGGCACCATGCTTTGCATAGTCCACCAGACCAAACCTCAGCTCAATTCAAACGCCAATTTGCTCTGCGTGTGATCAAAGAATGACAGCCAACACCAAATTCGCGAGGTAATCTCAGCACGTCCTTATTCTCAATGTCAACAGCACACTCTCGCAAACGGTCGGACCCATACCGCTGTGACCTCTATGATCTCTCTGACAGACACGTCGTTTGCAGAACAAGCTGCTGCAATGGCAATAAATCTCGGAAACGAAGCAAGGCATAGCCGGTCATGTGTCGGCGGACGGCAAGGGAAAGGATGAAATCACCTGAGAATTGCATCGTTAAGGGCATTCCCAATCATGGAGTTATATTGGCTGACTGCGCTAAAGCAAGTACCCAATTCATCCTGCGCATACTTCATGACCGACTGCTTCGTTGTGCTGGGACGGGAAACCTTGCCAATCTTCTTCCCGCAGGTGCACGGTGGTGCTGTTCAGTCACAAGTACCACGAAGTCATCGCCTTTTCATCATGCCACCCATCTTTCAGTGATGGCCTGGCAACGCAAATGCCAAGGTTGAAGCCAACGTGTGGGCCACAACACAGTTGCGAGCACCGGCCCAAAGCATCCAACTCCTTTTCCAAACCTTCATCGAAGTCCTTGAAAGCAGCATGGGGCTTACAGTAGGCGTTCGGGCGCGCATTCACAAGACTTGCACCAACACTTGTCCGGGAAAGGGCTCTCGGCAATGCGATCGGACGCAGAGGTCCTTCAATGGCCATTGTTAGGGGTGCTGAGAGGCTGCCAAAATGAAGGACCCACCAAATCGCAGCATGTGTGCGGTCCTGGCATAGCGCGATGGGACGAGCCTTCGAGAGGAGCAACAGTGCAGCTAAATCACTTGGCGGAATCCGCACCACCTTGCACTCAGCTGGTTGGCCCAACCTTCAACAGCAGAAACTTGATTCCAATATCTCGCTGACAACAAAAATTGAACCCACCTTGCCAGAGACGACGCCCGAGTTGTCGACGACCAATTCCCATGAGACATACGCGGTGCTGTGTGTTATGGCTGCGTGTCGCTGTTGATGCTGATGTTCCGAGAACTTCTAATGTTCATGTCTGGGGTTGTGTCTGCAAAAACACGACACTAAGAGTCCTATGAGCACCTACATCACCGAGAACAAGCAACCCAACGTCAACTCTCACGCGCATCCCCGCGCCGACTTTCAGCCTGGCCGAAGCATCACGTGCATCGCCTGCACGGCACGCCCTCGGCGCACCCCTGCTCGACTGAATTCCCGATTCTGAAGGAACCGCGCAGCTGCAGGTGCAGAAGCATATCTTTGCAAGATATCTGCATCGGTTCGGTGTGCAGCGGGGGGGCGGGGAGGGGGCAGCGTGCACAACAAACAATCGGCGCAAGGTGCTCGCCGCTTGTAGGTCTTCGGCCGATGTGACGCGGCCGAGCAGGAGTCAGCCAGGAGTCGACAGGTTCTGCGAGCATGCGGATTTTAGAATGCTTGCCGCGATGGTGATTTATACTGACTTTCGTTCTCTCACACGCCTCTTTTGGGTTCCTGCGCGCAGCGCAGCTGCCCACACTGCGACGTCCCTATGGGCCACGAAGCGGCAGGCGGCTCGGCCGCGCCGCTTCAGCTATGTCCAGCACTCGGTCCAGCCGCTGGGCCGACAGTTGGCTCCAACCCGAGGGCAGTGCTTGTGACGGCCTGTTGTGACGACACTGCCAAGTATGGCCCACCAACGCCTGGTCCATGCATTCGATGCAGCACTTCGCCTGGTTGGCGGAGCTCGTTGGGGCACGGACGCGGACCAGATCCCGGAGCAGCTGTGCTGCGCACCGGCATTCCAGCGTCCTCCAACCTCGCTCCATGACGCCACGAGCTGCTGGTGGCCGATGCGTTCAGCTCCGGTTAGGTGGCTCGCTTGCGGTGTTCGGCGACGAGAAGGGAAGCTCTGTCATGTGAAGCTTCACAGGGTTGGGGCAAGCCCTTGTACGACAGCCCTCGCCAAGGGGGGGGGGGGGTTCCGCCGCTCCTTTGAGACTAGATGCGAGATCCAAGCCAATCGCGGCGTGGCGCATGCAGGTATCCGCGAAAATCGAAGTGCGGGCCTGCAGCACGGGCAAGGCGCGGCCCAGAGACCAAGCCCAGGCCCCCAAAGCAGCCAGAAGGGTTGCCAAGTTTCTCGTGCTTGAACGTCGTCGGGGGAATCGGCGCATACAGGGCGACAGGAGAATGTGGTTGGCTCGCGGCGAAGCACACATCGCAAGGAGGAGCCATGCAAATTGCAAGTCCTGTAGCTGAGGCAGCTGGTGCAAAAGCTTCCACTCGGTCTGCGATCGTTGTCCTTGGGGCGCCCAGCGCAAGGAGCCCTCGCTCCGCAGGAGGTTTGTCCCGTCGCCATACATCCGCCCAAAACTCAGAGCTCGTCAATCCCTGCCGGGGGCGGGGCCACCCACCAGCACATCCACGTTCCTGCTCGCAGCCTTCGCTGCGAGATGCCCCGGAATCGCCGGTCAGAACCCCACCAACAATACGTGGAGGGCTGGCCTTAAAAAAACCGCACGAATGGGAGCTGCTCCAGCGCGGTGTCTTGGAGGCCAGCTAGAAAGCATGCTCGGGGCATGCTGTTCTGCGAACTCCGCCCATCGAGGGAAACAAGGACCGCTTTGCATCACAAAGTTCGAGCGCCGTCCACACGTGTGCGGCCAAAGCGTCGGTACCGGCCCGTGCCTGCAGAGATCTGCAGAGCGAACTGAGTCAGGCACGTTGCTTCATCGGAAATAGGTGCCCATTGCTTGGTTGCGGCACACGCGACAAGGTGGCGGAACACGTCGCCAGTTGCGAGGATTCCGCCGGACTTGCGCAACACGGTCAAGCGGGCCAGGACGAGGGCCGGCGCGACGTCCGCGAGTACCCGGGCATCCGGCCAATTGTGTCGCAGCTAAAGCGAAGAGCTATAAAGCGGGCATGTCGTTGAGCAAGATCTTCAGGTGC